ACAGTATACACACATATGTAAACAAAAACTTTTATTTTGGATGCGATTAATCGTTTGACAGCACTAGTAAAAATATTTCACAATACTACTGTTTTTACTGTAATTTAGGTCAAACAATGCAGCATTAGTGAGCAGAAGAGATTTCTTAAAAAAAATATATATATTGTAATTATTGCAAACTTTTGATTGGTAGTGTATGTATATTGTGTGAAACATTGGCAATTGCTACAAGCAGTGCATAAAGAAATTCTTGTTCCTTCAGTGTGTACAAAGACACAAAAGCACTCATCTTGTTGTTTCTCATGTCTTGTTCAGTTGCTCTGCAGGGCGTTGGGGCGTTGCAGGAAGTCCAAGTGCCAATCATTGACTCAAAGACTTGTCAGGATATGTTTCTGATAAACCCCACAGAGAACATTGACATCGGCCATGACATGATGTGCGCTGGATTCCAACAAGGAGGCAAAGACTCCTGCCAGGTGAGGAGAGCATTGCTTGAGGAAAACATGCTTTTTTTAAATAAAAATACCAATGAACCTTCTAATGCCCTTCTGTTTTTATATATTTCTGCATGTGTGCTTTTTCAGGGCGACTCCGGCGGCCCTCTGGTGTGTCAGATCAGTGACGGAAGTTGGGTGCAAGCTGGAATTGTGAGCTTCGGTCTCGGCTGTGCTAAACCAAACCGACCAGGAGTCTATGCCAAAGTATCCAGCTTCACTAACTTCATCCAGAACCATGTTGGAGGAGTCCAGCTCAAGAGCGCATCGGGTCACATCTGGGCTGACCGGGTCATGGTGCTCATCAGGACTCTGGTGCTACTGGTATTAGTGCAGCTGCTGAGATAAACACACACTGATCCTCGCACAAGCCAAAAACCTCCTGCCCCAAAACACCGTCCTACATAAAAAGAGATTTTAATGCCATAAGTAGTTTTTTAATCAGTTTTTAAACAACTTTATATTATGTAGTTTCCTATTTGGTTTGTACCAAAAATACACACCGAATGATTTGAAATGAAAGATAAAAGTATGTCTTTTACCACTTGATTGATAATATATTCTTTTAACTATTTGGAACTGTACTGATTAACATTGAGATGATTAAACCATGTAATTAAACTGCAAATAATGCCATTTTTAAACTGAAACACTCAAGTGGTTCTCATGGGCAGCTTAACAAATGTGAGGTTTGACAATCATGATGCATACTAAAATATTAATGGACACTTATTTGATCCAGCCTTTTGCACAGCAATTATAAATGTTATTTACCTTTGCATCAGGACATGTCAAATTTTGAAGATTTTAAGATCACCTGTGCAATTAGATGTGTATGATGTGAAAGATTGAATGCTTTTCTAGAGTCAGTTGTATATTTGTATCAATTGGTGACTTTTTCTCTTAAAATGCTGTAAATAAACTTTGTAATAAAGTGATTTTTGTAATTGATATATTTAGCATGTTTATATTTATGGTAGAGGTAAACACTGGGGAATTGTCCTGCCTTTAAACATTAGCATTACTAATACTATCATAGCAACCGTTGCTGTCTGGCATGTTCTGCGCTTTTAATGCAAGTCTATGGAAGATTTGTATTTGGTTAATCAGAATTTTATATAAAAATATTGTTAATGTGCATTCTGCATCAGTATTTTTTTTTGTTTCGCAGGGAAAGTAACATTTCATTTACATACAGATTCAGGTTCTAGGGGTAATTTGTGTAATCACTTTTATTTATATATATATATATATATATATATATATATATATATATTTATTAGGGCTGTCGGTCGATTAATTAATCTAATCGCAAAATAAATTTGACTATGAAAATACCCACAAAACATTATTTAAAGCTATTTTTGTGTTAAATGAGAAAATATCAAGTAGACATTACAAATATTAGCTTTAAAAAGAAATATTTTGCTTCAACTTAAAATTTATTACACAAACATTTAGGCTACAACAGCCTAACATAAACTATGGAACATGAAAGAAAATAACTTGAGAAACATCTCAGTATTGTTTGTTCATATAATGAAAGTCATTGGTAACTAAAACGGCTTTGTTAACAACAGTCTTCAAAATACCTTCTTTTATGTTCCACAAAAGAAAGGTTTGAAACGACATGAGGGTGAGTGAACGATGACAGAATTTAAATTTTTTTGGGTGAACTATCCCTTTAATGTTTTTATTATTATTATTATGAAATGATGCTCTAAACAAGAAACTAAATCTGTGAGCAGGTGGCGGTAAATGTCTTTATGAGTTCATTCGAAAGGCTGAGTCATTCAGGAATGAAGTAAATGGCTCTCTTTATGAATGAGTCTTCGAATCATTGGTTCACACGATTCGTTCAAAACGCGGATTCCTTCAGAAACTAAACGCTGCTGTTTCTCGAAAACGCGCAACAATTCTGTTATGGCTTTAAAGGTAATTTGTTCTCTGCAAAATTGAGCAAAAACATATTGTGTTTAAAATATAACACAATATCATTGTTTTGGGTTTGGGTTATTATACACAATTTTTGGGTATAATATGTTACAGTTTACTTTATTTTGCTATCCTCACTTACATAAATGAACTACAGTGTCCTGCACCCACTAGTAAAAAAAAAAATAAAAAATCCAGTTTCTGAATTCAAAATCTGGTGTCTGAATAATATTTGGTTTGACTGTAAAAAACTAAATACTGCAAAAGAATACAATTAAAAAACAACACACGAATCCCTTTGATGGCTTTATTCAAGACGATACTCTTTGTTGCTGGTGTAAAACGGAGCAAATCTGCATGTGGTGCAGCAAGTTTCACTATTTTCTACAAGACATTCATGCAACATCAAATGAAATGTTTTTCTACTTTCTACAGTCATGATATCATTGTGCTCTGCTGTGTTTCATCCACCGTAATACTGCTGCCCTGCTGGTGACTCCTACTGTAGTGTACTAGAAAATAGCTTTAAACACTGGTCTGCTAAACAAGTCGCTATTTCAAGTGAATTATTCTCTAAACTCAGTTGAATGGACTGATATTCCAGGGGGAATGAATGGCACTAGCACCGCTGAACTGAACTCTTTCTCCCTGGATCTGAATTGCTTGGTAATGGCACTGAAATTCTGAGAATGGAAACCCCTTGAGAACCAAACAGAGCATCATACTTTAATGTTGGCACAGATAAATAATGCATACGAACCCATTAAAGATAAAGGCACTTTTCTGGGTAAGAGTCTAGGTAAAGGCCTTAATAATTTGGAGCCTCAAACATATTCTCTCTACTGTGCACAATACAGCTATCAAGTTCCTCTGTTCACGGCCCTCAACCGGTTCTACAAGGGGATGAAATGCGTGGTGGACTGATCAGGTATCAGGAAGCGTTGAGTTGTCGGAGAGGATCATGGGAGATCCCAGCTGGAGCTCCTGCTGAAGTGACTCCATGTCAGCAGGGGTCATGCGGTGTACCTCGAGCCAATCAGAGAGCAGGGATGCAGACAGGGGGGCCAAGTCATTGTGACTAATGGAAGAGAGAATAGAGACCATTGAAACGCATGTTACAGTCGAGTATTGTAATTATCAGTGACGTACAGTTTAAAAATAGAGCGTGCACTTTGCGGTCACCGGGATTTGAACTGACCTTTCCCTGAGGTCGGAGTGCTGGAGTTCGGTGAGAGACTGAGTGAGGAGGTCATCGAGGTCGAAGCCGACGCCGTATCCTGCTCCACTGCCTTTAGGAGTCACTGAGAAAACCGGCGGCAAAATGTCTTCAACCTGGCGGGAAAAATGATTGAGAGAAGAATGAAACAAATGAACAAGATCAAAATTAAAACATAATCTGATAAAAAATACAGAAATATGTTTTCCAAACGTAAGTCACAGAGCCCATATGCATGGAAGCTTGTTTGAATCATGAGTAAAAAAAGGTAATTGCAATCTCATTTCTTTACTTTATGTCTCAGTGTTAGCCTACTTTATTTTCATAATGACCTTTTTCTTCATTACCCTAAGTTAGAAACAGGCCTCCATGCATAACATCATTTGTCAGAAAATAAAACAGAAAGATAAAAATAATGCCTGGCATGACCTTTAGGGGGCCACAGTTTTATTTTCAATTAATCTAACAATAAATTAATCAATCACTAAAAATAAAACATAATAATGAAACAGAAAAAACAATGCCTTGCATGGCGTTTACAGTTTCTTTTTTCCAATTAATCAAACAATCAATATATACAAATAATATATAACAATAATAATAAAAACAATACTGATAATAATAATTAAAAAAATAAAATAAAAATAAATTTTAAAAAGTATTAAACGTGTTTCTCATCCAGCAACATTGGTGCTACACACACAAACTATAAAATAACTAAAATAAAATGTTCATGCTTACTTTAAATTTAGAGGTCACTGGAGATTATTTCCATTTTTATATCATGATTTAAATGAATATTTTCAAGTGATTATAATTATTTTTGTACAATTAGACCCTCAGTTCTGGCTTGCAGTCAATGGTAACTTTATTTCTAGCTTATGCAACACTTTGGAGCAGAGCATGAGTAAAAAACAAACAAACAAAAAAACGTAACTATAGAAATTTCCATGACTTTTTAAAATTTATTTTTATATTTTCTGTTTTCACTTTTAGTTACAATTTCAGTAATTGTGATGCTTTTGTCATTAGTTTTTTAAGTTTTTCAAATTAAACTAAACGAAACTGAGAAATGCTGCCTTGGTAACGAGCCGAAATAGTTTTCTATATTTTATTTTCAGTTAACCCCAGCCTGCAAATATTTATTTTAAAATCCTCTAATTGTTCCTGGTTATCCTTGACCGCTATAACCCAATAACCCAAATAAATGTCTTAACCCAAATTAAATGATAACAGGTTTTGCTTTTCTAAGCAAACAAACTTTCACCTGGAAGAAAATAATAATGCATAACAATAATAAAAAATACCATATGCTCATATTGGAAGAAGGCCAATCATGCACTATAAATAAAACGTTCACCTGTGACTTTGAGAGCTGTTGTGTGACTGTGTGGATGTCAGGGATGCAGTTTGCTGGCTGTCCCGTGTCAGTGAGACCAAGGCAGGGGTGAGCTGCAGCTCCCGGAGGCTGTTTTGAAGGGCCCTGTGCATGAGAGCCATTTTGTTGCTCTTCTAAAACACAAAGTTTGTCCAGGGCTTGAGGACCATTGCCGATCTCTGGATTGGAAAGAGACGTGCTGGTGTCCGAGATGCCAATGCTGGGGTTCAGAGCTGATGGTTTGGTCATAAAGGATTCCAGCGGCAGCAGATGGATGTGAGCGTTGGACTGCGACTGCGCATGCGTGACAGGCTTTATTGGAAAGAGACGTGCTGGTGTCCGAGATGCCAATGCTGGGGTTCAGAGCTGATGGTTTGGTCATAAAGGATTCCAGTGGCAGCAGATGGATGTTAGCGTTGGACTGCGACTGCGCATGCGTGACAGGCTTCGGCTGCATTTGCATGTGCGCAAAGCCCGTGTGAGCGGGGTTATTCAGTTCAGGTGGAGGTTGGTGGGTTTTCTGGGGTTGGTGTGGAGTTGTTCCTGTCCAGTTCTCAAGACCGGTGAACATTGTTCCAACAGTCAGAAACTGAGGTTTTAATATGTTGTTTTTGGCAAAGGCACATGGGGCGGTTACCACACCAACACTTCCACCTCCCCCTACAGCAACTATCCCAATGTCTCCATTCTGAGCTGGACCTAAAGAGACGGGCTGTGCATAATGAGTCGGAGTTGGATGGAATATTCCAGCTGCCAAACACTGTCCCATTTGTGGTGGTTTGAAAGTCTGCACTTCGTTGGGTTGTTTTGGTGCCATTGATTCTCCCCTGTCTGAGTTTGTCTTTACGACTTTGCTTCCTTTTGCTGGCTGGATTTGGACCGTTTTACCCTCACCGGTCTTGGCACTATTGGTTTCCGCAGTCTGTGATTTGTCCACTCGGTTGTCCATCATTTGTCCCCAGCGCTCCAAAAGCTTCTTATCGCTGTCGCTGAGTAACACGCCACCCAAAGATTCGCCTTGT